GAAAGGGATAACCCTGCTGGTCGCTGAGGACCTCGGAAGCGGGCGCGGCGAAGTGACAGGCGCCGTAGCCCATGGCTTCAGCGAACGGTAGGTAGCCCCTCCCCGGGTTTCCTCACAACGGTGATCGATCCTTTCGTGCTCAAGCCTAATCCTTGTATTTGTGGTCGGTCCTCTGTATTTAATATTCAATTTTTAGTCTGGCCCTCAACATTGCACACCGGTCTTTTCGGCCATAGGCATGGGCCTTTGCCATTTAGGCTCAGTCCTTTGTGCTTCGACATTATTTTTATATGAATCAATGTTTTCCCCGTTTGTTTGGTTCCTTATTGATTGAGCTCAACCTTCTCATATTTATGTTAGTTCTTGGTGCTTCAACATTTTTTTTATATATGAATCAATGTTTTCCCCGTTTGTTTGGTTCCTTATTGATTAAGCTCAACCTTCTCATATTTATGTCAGTTCATGGTGGTTAGGATTGTCCTCCTTGTCTAGCTGCTAGGCTATTGTTGTTCGTGTTGTAGCCTCGGTTCTTGGAGTAAGGAGTTTTTTGTTTTTTCCAGATACAGTTTTCGACGCTAAAAACCAGTTTTTGGTGCTTAACATTATCCTCATAATGGTGGCTGGTCTTCGGGTGCTCCGACCTTATTCGTGGGTTGGTCGTTTATCCTTGGTGTTTTAGGTTCAAGTCTTGTTGTTCGTGTTGTAGCCAGATCTTCAAAGTCAAAGGACTGTTTTTTTTTTTCTGTATCTTGTCTTTGAGGCTAAGCGTCAAACTTTTGTGCTCTAGCAATGTTCTCAGGATGTTGATCGGTTTGGGAGGGAGGAAATGACGCTTTCAATGCCATGGGCTTGGTCCTTCGGTGTTAAGGATTGCTGCTTAGCCTGATCTTTTGGGTCTGAGTGGGTCTTGTTGGTTAGGTTTTTACTCGATTAGTCAACGTGTATTTATATTGTTTCTTGTTGGTTAGGATTTTACTCGTTGCTCATCTCATACCATGGCTTCTTTGTGTTGATTTGAGTGTCGTGTCGTCGGTGTTGATTCTCAAGTGGTTCACTTTGTGTTCGTATGGTCCGAGGCCTACGTCTTGATCAACCGTGCTTTGGCCTGGTCCTTAGAGTCTTTGGCCTGATTTTCAGTTTTCCAACCTAATCTTCGAGTTCTTAAGTTTGGCCTTGGAACAACAATCGACTCTTTCGTGCTCAGACCTAATACTTAGATTTGTGGCCGGTTCTTGATATTTAATGTTCAATTTTTGGTATGCCCCTCAATATTGCACGTCGATCTTTTTTGCCATGGGCGTGGTCCTTTGCCATTTAAGCTCATTCCTTAGTGCTTCGACATTTTTTGTATGTGAATCAATGTTTTTCCCATACGTTTGGTTTCCTTATTGATTAGGGTCATCCCTCTCATATTCATGCCAGTTTTTTGTGGTTAGGATTTTCCTCCTTGCTGATATTTTCGTCTTATGGTTTCCTTACGTTAACTTGAATGCTGAGCAGTGTGCTCTTGGTCTTTGAGCGTCAGTCACAACCAGGTCCTTGCAGTCTGTCGGCTAGGTTGTTGTTGTTCGTGTTGTAGCCTCGGTTCTTGAAGTCTAAAGATTTTTTTTTTTTTCCTTTCTTCAGATAGGGTCTTCGATACTAAGAACCAGTCTTTGTTGCTTAACATTGTCCTGATAATAGTGGTTGGTCCTCGAGTGCTCTGACATTGTTCTTGGGTTAGTGGTCTGTCCTTGTGTTTTAAGTTCAAGTCTGATGTTCGTACTGTGGCCGGGTCTTTGGAGTCTGAGCACTGTTTTGTTTTTTCTCAGATCTTCTCTTTGAGGCATAAACTCGACCCTTGATGCTCTGACACTGTTCTCAAAATGAGGATCGGTCCTCGACTGCTCCAACAAGGTTTGTTGTGCTTTGACCCGGTTCTCAGAATGGTGGTCGATTCTCGAGTGCTCCAACGAATCCTTTATTCTCGTTTCTAGAATAGTGGTCAATATTTGAAAGCTAGGGTTGGGTCCTTGGAATAATGGTTTGTCCTTCATATTGGAGGCTAATATCTACGATCCAAGATTTAAGCTTAAGCGGAGGTTTTAACCATTATATTCTAAATTTCTGCTATTATTATAATTAATAATAAATAAAGTTCAAAAATAAGTTAGAAAAAAATGGAGATCAATCAATTCAATAGTAGTGTGTGTCGTCGATATTTTTCTTCAGCAATTGCGTATGATAATCATGTTCGAGGATCAGCCCACGTAAATCGGGTTTTGCTTTCGGAAAATTATTTGAAAAATTCAACTATTGAGGATAATTATCATGCTTTTGAACAGTCCGAAATAAGAATAGCGGAAGCTTATGTTGGGGATCAGATTATGTAGTCTTTAGAAGACGAGGAATTTGACTCGCCAAAAAAACTAGCAGCTTCATTCTTTTCGTGTCGAAATGGGATGGGTTTAACAAAAAATGATATGTCTACAATTATAAACGTTATTAAAAACCCCAAATTCAATGTTAATTCTTTATGATATTCCAATGGTCGAGAATCAAATCGTTGGATTGATCAACTGACAAAGGATGATGGATGGTCTTCACTTGATCTTCGGGAAGAGGGATGACCGGTAGAGGTTCATGCAACAGTTTATTACCGAGATTGGAAAAAAAAACTTTCAGGGATTAGTCAAAACAGCAAACAAAACTTTAAGAGATCGATTCGTTTTAGAAGCCTTGCGGTCTCAAGGTGAACATAGTATAAAAGGATCAGAAACTGGATCATTATGGAGAAATTTAGAAGATTTAATTCACGAAGAGAAAGAGGATGATCGATTTGTGATGCCATTTTATTTGTTTTCTAATAAAACAACAATAGATGAACGTCAACAAACTAATGCGTATTCACAAATGATGTCCCTTGTTGGTGCATCATCAAAGAGTCGTCTTTTGGCATATCTTCTACTGATTCATCATGTACCTGGTCTACGTGGCTGGGAAAAAAATGGAGTTGAACTCAAGGTAGCGAGAATGAAAGTTTTTCACCGAGCATTAGATATGATATTGAAAGAAGCAAAAACTGCAAGTTATAATGACATCAGTGTTGAAACATACGATAGAAAAAATATTACAGTTAATACTGTAGTAATGAATTATGTCCAAGATCATCAAAAAAGAAATTTTCTTTCATGTGTAAAAAAAATTGTTTATTGTCCTACGTGCATAACTCTAAAATCTCGATTTGCAGATGTTAGAGCGGTGTGTTCCATTGATCCAGCCATAATATTTCGTATAAAAGGTGTCGATAAGATGATTTTGCAATGGGTTCATGCCCCTGAGAGCAACATTAAGGAAATTGAAGAAAAAAGGAAGAGAGGTATAGAAATGGTAGAAATAACAGGCATGCAATGTTCCGTTACTACCAATGGTGTATGGGGGTTTTATTGTGGGTCTGAAAATGCGAAACTTCGCGAATGCGATTATCATATGGCACTTGCACCAGATGTCATAGACACTATTGATCATGGGATTGTGATCCACGTGTTCAATTGTTTGAAGACAGTTTGCAAAGAAATGTCGAACAATAGACCAAAACCACTTTTAGAGAAGCTTGATGGTCGTTTGTCTGTCATAGGAGACCTAGACTCGTGTTATCCATCATTCACTCTTCCAGTGGGAAGACAGTAAAAAAACAAGAGTTTTTTTTTATCTAACCATAAGTTTGAAGCAAAGCAAAATCTTTCCGTAATGCAAGTTATTGTTTTTGTTGTGAATGGAGTGACATCTGTGAACAATCATGACTATATAACGGGGACATTTGTAAAACGTTTACATTTTTACTTGGCAATGTTCAAAGTATCCTCTCACACATTGCAATCATTGAGAAATGCAAAAAAAATGATAGAATTTGTCGAAAGTTTGAGAAACAAATTGAAACCATATCAATCTTCAAACTGACAATTGACAAAAATTCATGATTTAACAAAGATGAGAAATGTCATTATCCGAACTCGACTTCTGAAGTATTTTTTAAGTGAAATTTGGGAACATGATCATATCAAGAATGTGAAGGTTCCATACAAAGCGACTAACAAAAGAAATGCGGATATGCAAATGATCCAACATATCAGACGTCGTGATGTCCTTGACAAAAAATTTATTGAAATACACATTCATAGTGAAAAGTGTGAATCTCATGTTTCAATTGCAGAAGGTGGTAGAAATGTTTTGTCTTGCACTCCAATAAATAACATATCAGTTTATGCAGAACAGTTTGATATGGTTGTCGAAGATATGATTGGGGTCAAAGTCTCCACTGCAAAACGGATTGCTGGGATTCTCTATCCTGAGCACTTTTTACCTTGTCTTCAAGAATATTTTAACCGGCAGAATGCAAATGAGGATGTCAAAACACTCGGGTTTTAATTTATAAAAGTGTAGCGATTGCTGCTGAATTGGATGGGACAACTCGAGGAGAAGTTGTACATATTGCCCGGGCAGTTTTTTTTTTTCATGGAAGACCTGTATATAATGATGTCTTTGTGTTTGGTGAGAAAAATGTTTTCTGGCATTTCGGTTTATTAATGTTATTTAAAGTAAAAAATTGTATTGCAAATATTAATGAGGAGTAAGCTTTTGTGAGATGGTATACAAATGTGCAAGGAGGTAGAACAAACATCTTAGGTTATTCAAAAATCAAATGGGAAATGAATGACTCGGTTATCAAATGTCGGATAATCAGCATAGCAAGTACTACAGGTGTTGTTCAAGTTATACCGAAGTTTTTGATATACAGTGCGTTTAATCGTTTGCATACTTTGACAAGTGAATAATTTCACATTAATAAATATATAATGAATTGATTTTTTTTTGTATCTTAAAGAATCGTTACTTGTGAATATACAGAGTCTACAGACATTGTGAACGTTGTAGTATGCAGGGAGTGCAAATTGTATCGAAAAAGTTTCGTGGACATTGTATTCGACAAGCGTTAAACAGATATACTTTTTTATAAGGAGATTGTGTATTTTATTTTGTTAAATATTTTTTAATATCTAATATTTTTTAAGTTATCAGTTATTCAATCACCGGATTGCTGGGTTGGACGTTTGGATCGGATGTTCGGAAGCTCAGTCATCCGAGATTCCTATAAACTCGATTTCGATGAATCTGTGAGACTGACATGTTCAGTAAAATTTGGCACACCCCTTGCTCAACAATGGGAACCATTGAGGAAGTCTTCATTCATGTAGTTAAAAAAAAAAAAAAAAAAAGAGGTGGTTGGGACTACACCAATTGCAGAGGAAAACAAAATCACACAAAAAGGGGAAGGGAGGGGGGGGGATTAGGGGGACTGCTGATGCAGTCGTCACAACAATTGTTGCAACTGCAAACAAAAAAGCACAAAAGCAAAATACGGATGAGGGAAGGGGCAGCAGATGCAGTAGTCACAACAATTGTCGCAACTGCAAAAATAAAAACACAAAAGCTAAAGAAGGGTGAAGGAAGGGGTTGCACATGCAGTAACCGCAACAATTGTCGCAACCGCAAAAACAAAAAAAAAGAAAAAGAAAGGTCAGGGAAGGGGGTGGGCTGCAAAAGCTGCAGAAAAAAAAACGAAAAGAATAAAAAATAAATGGTAGGGGGAGAGGGCTACATCAGATGCAAAAAAAAAAAAAGGGTTGGGGAAGGGCGAAACGCTTCCAGCAGTTGCAAATGTAGCAAGGCTATAGCATGTGCAAAGAAAAAAAAAAAACGAACAGAAAAAAAAGGTCGGGAGAGGGGGAGGGGAGAATGTTACTATCAATAACACATGCAGCAACTAWAAAAAARAAAAAAAAAAAAAAAAAAAAAAGGCGGGTGTAGCGGACCTACCAGGTGTGGTGCTCCGCTARYGACAGAGATGGAGATGGAGGAAGAAGGGGGGGAGTAAGATGCACAGCGCAGCTCCCCACGCAAGACTCCAACGCGGGTACTCCAAAATGTACAAGTGAAGAATGAGGACGAAACAGATAACTGCTGGGGTATACCCTTGCGGACTGACTGGATTGGATTGGACTAGCTGGTACCGATAGAGGTACCGGCCTGGACTGAACTGGACTGCCCCCGAATAGAACACAGGCCTGTGAGAACATGCCAAGGGGCTGGTCTCATAGGCCAACCAGAGGTCCGCTACATGATCCTCGGCCTGTGATGGATCGCCTAGATGCAAACACGCTTCCGCCAAGAAGCGGAACTCTACCAAAGAAAAAGAAAACCTGAGTAGTTTAGCATGCGGAGCAAGCTCCATGCTGAGTCCATGCGATGCAACCTATTATAGAAAATGTCACAAAACAGCAATGTCACAGCTATCAGCCGAAGTGAAAGCAAAATCAACTAACTAGCATACATGTCCTAGGAAAGCAAACGCAACTAACTAGCATACATGTCCTAGGAAAGCAGAAAGTAGTGACAACTAGATCCTAGAATGTTGGAGGATGTAGCCTCAGTCTGGGAACAACTGACTTGTGTATAAGTTCTAAGAATAGCAAAAACAAAACAGTTAAATCCTAGAAATGTTAGAGGCAGTAGCCTCAGTCTGAGATCAACAAAGAAACAACAAGTCAACCATATGTCACAGGAGAGGTGTGTCGCAAACCAAAGGGTGGGATGGTCTCTGAGGGTGGCGAATGCAGCCTAGGGGTCGAAAACTCCTAAGGGCATCCACACATAGATAACAGGGAAACACATGTCATCAGGCTCAATGAGGGTAGGGAACTGGGAGCGAACAGAACCAATGACCCTAACAGATAGACCATCAGAGGGGGTAATGCTCGACTAAGGGGTTACCGCTATGGAGGGTCGACCATGCAAGGGAACAAGGGAGCCTGGTATACTGGACGCACCTAGATGAAGCATGCGGGGCTGCCTAACTAGGGCGTGAGGGCCGACAAAGGGTAGAAAGATGATGGGTAAGGGAATCATGCAAATGACTCCTAAGGTGGGGAAGTCGGAGCTAGATCCGTAAGATGGGAAGCTACGGCAACGCTACGGTCCCGATGCCTATACTTACACCAAGGGAGAGCCCAACTCAGAGGAACCCGGCTAAAGGGAGACCATCATGCGACACAAGCAGGGTACTGTACAGGGTAAAGTGGTAAGGGAGTGATGACGTCTGAAGTAGGCAGAGCTGATCGTGACGAAGTCCATGAAGCTGCCGATGACATCCACGATGAGAAGTCCGGAATGTCGTTGAGGAAGAGCCGCAACGTCGACGAGTGGAAGTAGCAAAATTGGAGTGGATAGAGTACTGGGAAGTCAAGGACGTGGGAAGGTATATCAGAGTCAATCGTCGTATCGAGCAGGATGACGACGAGTGCGCTGTGGACGCTCAGAAGCATCCGACTGTTGCTGAAGGTCTGCCTCAGATGGAGCAGGCTCGACTTCAGAGGTCTCCTCAGCCGGGGGAGAAGGAGGAGGGTCAGTGGGYTGAGGAGGAGCATTGAACCCAGCACGACGAGCACGGTCATAGGCACGCACCAACATGCGAGCGTGCTGCAAGTGCTCGAGGGGCTCCCAGGTAGCCTCCTCATCAGGGTAACCCTTCCAACGTACGAGGTACTCGACGTGGGAAGGGTTGTCGTCAGTGACTCGGCGACCAATGATGTCTGAAACGAGGAACTGCTCGTGGCCATCCACCAAGATGGGTGGAGGACGCTCGTGTGGTCGTCCAGCGAAACACTCAGACGGTCTGCGGTAAGGACGCACTAACGAGACGTGGTAGACATCGTGCACACGAGTCTGGCGTAGGTAGTCGAGCAGCTTCACACGGAAGCTGACCGTGCTAGATGTCGTATCAGAACCGACGGTCTGGAGGATGCGGCATGGGCCAAAGAAGCGACGCTGAAACTTGAGAAGCGCGTCTGCTTCGAGCTGTAAGTGGCGGGCGTCGATAAACACATCATCACCGACTTTGAATGGATGATTCATCCTCGATCAGTTCGCACGTGTTGCCATGCGAGTCCGGAAAGCAGCTATGTGCTCATGTGCGGTCTTAAGGATCGACGTCATGTGTGCAACCCAATCATCCAGTGCGGGACAACTCGTGTCAGGGTGCATTTGTGACGGTCGGAGGAAGTCCGTGGGAACACGAGGGTGATAGCCGAGGTCGCAATAGTAAGGCGACATCCCCGTCGCTGGCGAGACGGCGTGGTTGTAGGCTATCTCTGCGTGGGCAATATGGAGATCTCACTGCTGGTCGTCACGAACAATCTTTCAGAGAATATCTCCGAGAGTCCTGTTCGTGATCTCGGTCTGACCATCAAGTGGAGCTGAGTGCCGTACACCTCGTGGAGCCGTCGCCAGAATCGGCTGGTAAAGCGTGGGTCACGGTCAGATATGATGCTCAGAGGTAAGTCGTGGTCACGCACGACTCGGTCAAACATGATGTCGGCGACCTCACGTGCACTGATGGCACAGCGGCACGGAACAAAGCGTGCACGCTTTGTGAAGCGGTCGACGACGATAAGGATACCATCATGACCGCGAGAGGTCATAGGACGAAGGAGACCGATAAAGTCCATCAAGATGGAGTGCCAACGACCCTCAGGGATAGGAAGAGGCTGGAGGAAACCATAAGGCAGGTGGTTCGCAGTGTTCACCTCCTAACAGGTGGGACACTCTGCGACGTAGTCCTTCACAAAGTCTTTGCGCTTCGGCCACACGTTTAGGCGGCTCACACGAGCCAACGTCTTGTGGAAGCCCATATGACCGGCGGCTGCCTGGTCATGGAACTCTGCTACTGCTCGGACACGTAGCTGTCCAGTGGAGGGAACGCAAATACGGGGCTCTCTGGTGCCCTGTGAACCGTGCCAGTACACAAGACCGTTGTCCCCGAGAGAGTAGTTCAGGACGGTCTTGCCACTCCGAAAGGTCGCGTGGATGTCATGATAGTCGGGGCAATGGCGGTACTGAGTGCGAAACTCGTCGATCACCGAGTGGTGGACGGTGGTGACCGAGATGGAAGAGAGCTGGATCTGCTCCTAGTTGTGGTCAAGGCGCCGGGATAAGGCATCTGCGACCCGATCAGTCTCACCCTTGATGTGCTCAGTGGTGAAACTAAACTCCGATAGGTAGCGCCACCAGCGAGCCTGTCGAGGAGTGAGCTTCGGTTTTGTCAGAAAAGCCTAGACAACAGAGTTGTCCGTACGCACCGTGAACGGTGCCCCGTGCACGTAGTGACGCCAGTGCCGAGCGACATAAACTACTGCGAGAACCTCACGTTCATCAGCGGTGTAGTTTATCTCGGCGGGCAGGAGCTGACGGGAGTAGAAGGCTATCGGACAATCACCTGAGAGAGACTCGATAGTGCCGTCCTCGGCGATGGTAGGAGAATAGTCAATAGAAGGCTCGTCAGTAGCTGGACGAGTAGACATCTGTCGGAAAGCAGTGGTAGGGGTAGGTTGTGGGAAGCGAGGGATACGAGGATGAGAGGAATCAGGAGAGGAGGGGAAGACCTGAGAAAGCACTGCTCTTACAACAAAGTCTGACGCATCGGTTGTAAGGATAAAAGGGCGATCAAAATTGGGTAGGTGAAAAACCGGTACGCATGTCACCGCCCTCTTGAGGGCGCGGAAGGCGTCCTCGTGGAGGGGTGTCCAAGCCCAGGGTGGGTTCTTCCGGAGGAGGGTGGAGGTAAGGACATAGGAATACCTAGCGTATCCCCGGATGAAATTACTATAGTAGTTGGTCACGCCTAGGAAGCTGCGAAGCTGCTTGGTGAATGTGGGAGCGGCCCACTCCGCAATAGCAGTGATCTTCGCGTCGTCCATGTGGAGACCATGGTCTGACACGCAGTGTCGTAAGAAATCCACTTTGTGCTGGGCAAAGCAGCACTTGCTCAGCTTGGCGTAGAAGCCATGTCTGCGCAAGCGGTCAAGGACGTCGCGGAGGTGTCTGAGGTGTTCCGCAAAGGTACGACTGTAGACCAGAATACCGTCGAGGTAGACGAGAATGTAATGCTCCAGGATGACCCTGAAGATGTCGTTCATCGCTTTTTGAAAGGTAGCGGGTGCGTTGGTGAGACCGAATGGCATCACCATAAACTCGTAGTGGCCGAAGCGCGATCGGAACGCGGTCTTCGGCTGGTCGGCTGCAGCGGCGCGGATCTGATAGCAACCACTACGAAGATCAATCTTCGTAAAGAAGCGGTTGCCTGCTAGGCAGTCGAACAGCTCATCGGAATGAGGCATGGGGTAACAGTTCTTAACCGTGTAGCGGTTGAGACCGCGGTAGTCGATGCAGAGACGAAAATATTCATCCGCTTTGCGAGCAAAGAGGACGGGTGCACCCCACGGGGAGTTGCTGGGCTTAATGAAACCCAATCTCAGGAGCTCCTCAAGATGACGCTTGAGTTCGGTGCCCTCGGGGATCGAGAGTCTGTAGGGTGCCTGGTGGTGAACACGATAGTCACGCACAAGCTCAATGGAGTGCTCGACGTCACGCATCGGTGGGATGCCAGCGTACGAGAACGACGATGGGAAAGCATCGTGGTACTCTCGGATGAGGTCACGAACTGCGGGCTCCAGGTCGGCCGTATAGCGTGCGAGTTCCTCAGCGTCAGCGTCAGTGAGCGACGGCGGGGTGGACTCGACGGACGACGGAGGGGCGGAAATAGAGATGGGAGCCATGGAGATAGAAGGAGGATCTGTCTGTAGAGGGATGAGCTCGGCGTCGGGACAGGGTGGATCATAGTGTAAGAGATCCGTCACATTCACCATAAAGAAGGTGACGTCGTCCTGACGGATGAAGTGGGCGAACTGCCGAGGCGAGGTAACAGTGATAGAAGGAGGTGGTGTGGGCACGGAAGGCTCCGGGGGAGGAGGATCGAGACGTGATGTCGCGGTGGTACCTATGAAAGGTACGCGATACGTCTGTCCACACTTTGTTTTGAGAACGAGAGTGTTGGTCGCCCAATCGGCCTCGGTGCTGCGGAACCGACGAGACCACGGAGTGCGGATAATGAAGTCTAACCCCTCTCCATCACATCGAAATGTGCAGAGGAGCGGTGGCGACGAGACGCCGGGGAACGATTAGTTGGCTCGAGAGTGAGGAAGAAAGGGAGGTCGGTGACCGTCTGATCGAAGAAGCGCTGAGTCTTGTCATCCCCTAGGGTGACAGAGATGGGAGACGAAGACCTGGTTGTAGGTAAGCGGGCTTCTTTCACCACACGGGGGTGAATGAAGTCGCCCTGAGAACCGGAATCCCACAACGCGGACTACACCCTCGTGGAGGTCCCCAATCGTACTGGGATGATCGGGAGGGTGCGATCAGGGTCAGAGAGGATGGTGAGAAGGCGACGCAGGGCAGCGACATGGAGGGTGAGTCTCTCCTGACGAGCCTGGAGCATGCTCAAGTCCAGAAGAGAGGACGCAACGTCCTCACGAGTAGCGAGCTGCTCGCTGCAACGGGCTGAGCGAATGGCTCGACCCGTCGGTAGTCGCGGCGGGGACGGAGGGGAGACGGTGGTCTGCGGAGGCGCAAACGGTTCTGCGACAGAGGGCTGAGTACACTCTGTCGAGTCCTGCGATACCTCAGCTCCAGTAGCGAGAGGGGCGAACTGCAACGGAGATGTAGGGAAGCCCACTACTGAGGAGGTCGCAGGTGTACACTGCACCGTGGCTAGGAGGCGCCGCGGGAATGGGAGGCGCCGGGGGGGGACTGAGCACGACGCTGACGGGAAAGGTCAGCGTAGTGGCGGTCGAGGGCGGTGGTATAAGGGCACCGCGAGGAGGTATGACCGTCCAAGCGACAGCGCAAACATCCACGCCGACCCAAAATAGTTGCGCGCTCCTCAGCGGAAAGGACACCGCAGGGAGGGACAAAGCCCTGAGGGAGGTGCTCCTGAGGGATCTCAGGGGGCGACGCGCCTGCGTGTCCGGGAAAGGGTCGAGAGGATGAGCTGGAGGCGCTTAGCCATAGGGAGAGTGGGATCCTCCAGGTGGTGGTGGACGGCCTCGCCGAGGTCGAGGTCGACACGATGGTCACCCTCTGGTGACAGCGGGGCACCAGCGTCCTGCGCCCCATACTCGATCGCGCTGAAGCGGCGCGAGAAGTGGCGGCCCTGCTGCGTGGGACGACGGGGGCGACCGCGGAAAGGGGAACCGCGCTGGGAAGTGTCGTGAGAGGAGGAGGAGGCGTAACCTGTTTGCTGAGGCTGGGAGGAGGAGGCGGGGTGAAGACGGGCTCGCATCCGCTCATTGTTCCTCGCGGCCTCGTAAGCCTGCGGGGCCGATGTGAACTCGTACCGCCATAGCTCGGAGCGGTACTCGAGCGGGAGGCTGGCCAAGAAACGATCGATAAGGGCAGCCTCGGGAAGGAACGCCACGTCACAAAGGAGGCCGGCGTCCTGAAAGACCTGGATGTGGCGATCCAGGCCGGCAGCGCCACTAGAGCTGGACTAGCGTGTAGTAACGACACGCTCGAAGGCGTCAGTCACGTCATATCGGGTTCCAAAGCGATCCTCGAGGAACGCCTGGAAATCCATGAAGGTCGGAGTCCGACCCTCACGCAGGGAGTAAGCATAGAAATCCTCCCAGGCGTCGAAAGGAGTACCACGCAGGCGCGTGGAGAGGTGACCCACCCACGTGTCGGGTGTGACGCCAATGAGATGGAGCGTGCGGGTGACAGACTGCAGCCACCTAGACACGCGTATGCCTGTACCGTCATACAAGGGAATGTCCGACAAGCGGATGAGTGGTGCGCCACCGTTTTGGCGCCGAGGGGAACGGGGAGCAGGGGACTGCGCTACGGCGGAATAAGTCAGCGCAGATCCTGGAGGAGGAGGCGCAGCTAACTGTACGCCCGGGCCGCATGGTGGAGCGGCGGGGGAAACAGTGGCAGGCTGAGGTCGCAGCAACCGAGGGGATGGGGATGAGGTAGGATGGAGATGGGTAGGGTGCAGGGCGAGGGAGGCGAGCCTGCATGGAAGGAAGAATAGAGGAAGAAGGGGGTGCGCCGGAAGGCGCGGCCACCTGTGAGGGTGGGGGTGGCTGAAGGCGTGAGAGAGCGAGGTCGGTCCGGAACTGGGCGATCTCGTCCTCGAGACCTTGAACGTAGGTCGAGCGAGGTGTGGCAGGGGGAGACGCACGAGCGGCGCGAGGCATCCCACAAGGGGTTCAGGCAGGTGGCGCTGCGGTCGTGCGAAGAGGAGGGAGAAGTGGGGCACCCGGAAAAACTGCGACCATTGTAGCAGGTTGTGGTACCGTGGCCGTAGTGACCGGGGTCTGGGCGGGTGCGCCCGTAGACTGAAGGTGGACCTGACTCGTGGCGGCCTTCGTGCTAGGGGTGTGGACGGTCACCAAGATGGCCGGGTTGGAGGCAGCAGAGGAAAAAGCTCCACCGTGGTCACCGTGTGGGAGGATGGGGGACCCGGACTGGGAGCCAGGAGAAGAGATAGGGTGAGGAGAGGAAGGACGACCAGCGTCCTGAAGTTGCCGCACGCCGGCGGCAAGGGTCGCCACCTGCGCCTGTAAGGGCGCGAGGGTCGCGAGTTGCGCCTGGATGGGCGCAAGGAGGGAGGTGAGGAGGGTGTGCAGATCCCCGTGGGGCTGATGGCCCTGGTCCACCGGCACGGGTGTGGAGCCCGATGTCGTGGTTATCGCTGTGTCGGTAGCGTGCGACACACCGTCGGCCATGGGGAGATGACGGACCGGACTGGAGGGGGCCAGAAGAGGTCCGCGTGAGCGGAGGGCGTAGGGGGAAGTCCGCGGTAGAAAGCGGCGAACGGCGATAGCAAGGCTAGCGCGGGCGCCGTCAAAGGGGGAGGGGTGGTTCGGGTCCAGGGTGCCCGAAGAGGCTGGGGAAGTAGGGGGGTTTTGAAGAACCCTAAACCCTACAAAAACCCTAAGAAAACCCTAACCGAGGTTTAAGTGGTTAGGGTAGGGTACCGGTGACCTAATCAAGAAAATAAAAGAGCAAGCATAGGGGGGGAAAGGCTGGCGAAAAATAAATAAACAGCGAGATTTCGAGAGAAAATAAAAAATAAATAAGGATATAAATAAATAATAAAATAGTTAAAAAAATAAGTAAAAAGATGTGAAGGAAAAACAATATTTATTTTTGTGAAATTTTCGGCAGCATTTCCCTACCCCCCACGGGGTCAAGAATGTGCCAAGGGAAAAGGAGAGACCAAGGTGAGCACACTAGAGATGCCGCAAAAAAAAAATAAAAAAAATTAGAGTATAAATAAAGGAATAATAAATAAATAAATAAATAAATAAATAAATAAATAAATAAGTGGATGAGGAGGTGGGGAGGAATGTAGTATCTAATTTGTCAAAAATTTTGGCAGTATTTCGTTACCCCCATGGGGTCGAAGTGTGCCGAGAAAGACTAAGTAAGGGAAAATCAGAAAATTTCGGCAGTATTTCGTTATCCCCACGGGGTCAAAACATGTGCCAAAAGCAAGAAAGACTAACACCTAATCAGATTTAGGGTTGCCGTAGAGAAAATCAAATTTTCAAAATAAATAAATAAATAAATAAAATAAATCAAAAAATGAGAAAAGAAGGTGGGAAAGAAGACAATTTGAATTTTTTTGGAAAAAGAGAAAATATAAATCAAAAGGAAGATAGAAAAGGAGAGAAACAGAAAAATTTTGAAGTAGGGGGGAAGGGGTATGAAAAAGTGAAGGAGAAAAAAAGGAAATAGATGGGAGAGAGAAAAAGATGAAGTGGGAGGTAGGGGGGATAATGTGGTGGTAGTTGGGGGAGAGGAGGGATGGGGAAAGGTGGAGAGAGATCAAGAAGGAAGGAGAAAAAAAGGAGGAGAGAAAAGAAAAGAAATGAAGAAAAGAGGGTAAGGTAGTGGTTTGTGGGAGAAAAGGTAGGGGGGGGGGGTACAAGTAAGAGGAGAGAGAGAGAGAGAGATATGGAGAGTGGGTTAGTAGAGGAAGGGGGAGAGAGAGAAAAGATACCTGACCCTTGGTGTCTCCAAGGGCACAAGGTACACCAAGACCAGGAGGGTCTTGGCCTTCACTGCAGCCAGCTGGAGGAGAGAGGGGGGCTGAAATCTTGATCAACCTCCTGGAGCAGCAGTTTTGCAGATCCAGGGTCTGCTGTTTGAGCAGACCCTCACCACTGTAGAGCAGCCCCTGAAACAGGGGGGTCTTCACACAGTGCCACGTGACACTTTTGGAGATAACAACAGGGTCCATAGTTTGAATTTTGAATCTTTATGAAGCGACTTTTATTTGTAGATCTCAATCAATCTTTGAGGATTTATTTCAATGTTTTTCATTCGTTCTTAAAGTATGTTTTTTCACTAAACTCATTCTATTGTGTTTTGCAATGTTGGATAGGATATAGAATGCCGGAAGTCAAATTTCGTAGTAGGGGAGAGATGAAGACTGTTTTGGCCAAAGCATGTGCGGCTCAGAAAGAAGAGAGGGGGATAAGGAAACAATCTCGACCCTTATTTGATATAGATATCCGGAAATTGGATGAAGAGGCTACTAAGTCATCCGCAATGGAAATACCTTACGCATCAAAAATATGAAGCTC